ATAGGAAATGACATATTGCACCCTGCTGACTCCCAAAAGCTTGTCCATGCACTGTATGTAGAGAAAGGGCTCTTGGGAGGTGTATTTCTGGGAGTATGTTTATATCAATAAGAATGAACACAGGGCACCCTGCTCTCTGCTGACTCCTAAAAGCTCGCTCCTTCTATGTATCTAGAGAAAGGGCTCTCGGGAGATGTAGTTCTGGGGGTGTGTCTGTATCAGTAAGGAATACCACAGGGCACTTTGCTTCCTGCTGACTCCCAAAAGCCCGCCCCTCCTATGTATGTAGAATTAGGGTTCTTGAGAGATGTAGTTCTGGGGGTCTATATCAATAGGAATTGACATATTGCACCATGCTGACTCCCAAAAGCTTGTCCATACAATGTACAGTGTGTAGAGAAAGGGCTCTTGGGAGGTGTAGTTCTGGGAGTATGCCTAAATCAACAGGAATGAACACAGGGCACCCTGCTCTCTGCTGACTCCCAAAAGCTCGCTCCTTCTATGTATCTAAAGAAAGGACTCTTGGGAGATGTAGTTCTGGGGGTGTGTCTCTATCAGTAAGGATTACCACAGGGCACTTTGCTCTCTGCTGACTCCCAAAAGCTCTCTCCTCCTATGTATGTAGAATTAGGGTTCTTGAGAGATGTAGTTCTGGGGAGGGGGGGGCTCTATATCAATAGGAATTGACATATTGCACCTTGCTGACTCCCAAAAGCTTGTCCATGCAATGTATGTAGAGAAAGGGCTCTTGGGAGGTGTAGTTCTGGGAGTATGTCTATATCAACAGGAATGAACACAGGGCACCCTGCTCTCTGCTGACTCCTAAAAGGTCGCTCCTTCTATGTATCTAGAGAAAGGACTCTCGGGAGATGTAGTTCTGGGGTGTGTGTCTGTATCAGTAAGGAATACCACAGGGCACCCTGCTCTCTGCTGACTCCCAAAAGCCCGCTCCTCCTATGTATGTAGAATTAGGGTTCTTGAGAGATGTAGTTCTGGGGGTCTATATCAATAGGAATTGACATATTGCACCATGCTGACTCCCAAAAGCTTGTCCATGTAGGCTAAGGGCTCTTGGGAGGTGTAGTTCTGGGAGTATGTCTATATCAATAGGAATGAACACAGGGCACCCTGCTCTCTGCTGACTCCTAAAAGCTCGCTCCTTCTATGTATCTAGAGAAAGGACTCTCGGGAGATGTACAGTTGTGTCCAAAATTATTCAACCCCCAATGCTGTAAAGGGGTTTAGGGACTATAGTGTACATTTGGAATTGTATTCAGAATCAAATCCTACAAGGACGTTGTAACTACCCAAATGCAACTAAAATGACATCAATTGTTTATGTAATACAGTAGTAAATGGTTCTTATGTGGTTTCTTCATTGCCACAATTATTCAACCCCTTAAAGACTACCACTCTGAAGAACAGAGGTTCATACAGGTGCTTTCCATCAGGTATTGAAAACACCTGTGGATGTCACCGAGCAGCAATCAAGCATAATAAGCACCAATTAGGCAGCTTTAAAATGACTGTGATACTCAGCTCCTTCTAGACATTTACTGGTGTGGTTACAAACATGGTGAAGGCAAGAGAATGGTCCAGGAAGACAAGAGAAGAGGTGATTTCTCTTCACAGGAAGGGCAATGGCTATAAGAAGATTGCAAAGATGTTAAACATACCAAGAGACACCTTAGGAAGCATCATTCGCAAATTCAAGGCAAAGGGCACTGTTGAAACGCTACCTGGTCGTGGCAGAAAGAAGATGCTGACTTCGACTGCTGTGCGCTACCTGAAGCGTAGAGTGGAGAGAAGTCCCCGTGTGACTGCTGAGGAACTGAGAAAAGATTTGTCAGATGTGGGTACAGAAGTTTCAGCCCAGACAATAAGACGCACACTGCGTAATGAAGGCCTCCGTGCCAGAACTCCCAGGCGTACCCCCTTGCTGTCTCCAAAGAATAAGAAGAGTCGACTGCAGTATGCCAAAAGCCATGTGGACAAACCACAAAAGTTGTGGGATAGTGTTCTGTGGACTGATGAAACAAAATTAGAACTGTTTGGGCCCATGGATCAACGCTATGTTTGGAGGAGGAAGAACAAGGCCTATGATGAAAAGAACACCTTGCCTACTGTGAAGCATGGTGGAGGGTCAATCATGCTTTGGGGCTGTTTTGCTTCTGCAGGTACAGGGAAGCTTCAGCGTGTGCAAGGTACCATGAATTCTCTTCAGTACCAGGAGATATTGGATGGAAACGTGATGCAGTCCGTCACACACCTGAGGCTTGGAGACGTTGGACCTTTCAACAGGACAATGATCCCAAGCATACCTCCAAGTCCACTAGAGCATGGTTGCAGAGGAAAGGCTGGAACATTTTGGAGTGGCCATCGCAGTCACCAGACTTAAATCCGATTGAGAACCTCTGGTGGGACTTAAAGAAAGCAGTTGCAGTGCGCAAGCCTAAGAATGTGACTGAACTGGAGGCCTTTGCCCATGAAGAATGGGCGAAGATACCCGTAGATCGCTGCAAGACACTTGTGTCAAGCTATGCTTCACGTTTAAAAGCTGTTATAACTGTAAAAGGATGCTGTACTAAGTACTAAGATTGAATGTCACTTGGGGTTGAATAAAACTGATAATGCTGTGAGCACAGAAAAGACATTTGTGGTTATTTCATTATAACTGTTATGTTATATTTGTCTGACCTACAAGTGCCTCTTTAATGTAAATGTAAGCAAGATGACTGAATGATCAAAAGCAATGTCAAACTGGCCAAAACACTCAATTTCAGTGGGGGTTGAATAATTTTGGACACAACTGTAGTTCTGAGGGAGGTCTGTATCAATATGAATTGACATATTGCACCCAACTCAGCCCCCCCCCCCCCCCCTGCAATCACTTTACAGTTCACCTGACCAGCAGGTCTCACCCTGATTGCTAAGCAACATCTCCAATCATGCGCATGTTCATGCCGGTTGGCTGGTCAGGTGACTTTAAAAGCAACTGCAAGGAGGGGGCATGTGGGGGGGGGGGGAGAACCAAAAGACTTCCAGAAAGTCAGTGTGACAGCTCCAGGCCAGACAGAGTCTGTGGGACAGTCGGTCACTCTGTGGGGGGGGGGGGTCACTGATGTATGGGGGAGGGGAGAGGCTGAGGTCAGGGCTCCCCCTTATATCAGTGTTCTCACTCCCCCCGTACATCAGTGAACCCCTTTATCTCAGTGCCTCTACTCTGCAGATTCTGGTGTAAAGGGGAGATCTGACATAAGGGGGCCTCTGGTCACCAGAACTCCCCCCCCCATCAGAGTTCCCAGCATTCCCCCCTAAATCAGAGTAAGCAGAGTTCACCCTTACAGTGCAAGGAGAAACTATGCAGACTCTGTAAAGAGGAACTCTGTGAACTCTGATGTAACGGGAGGTGGGGGGAGTACTGGGGGGGCAGAGAACCTGTTACATCAGAGTTCCCCTTTTTCCCCTTTACATCAGAGTTTGCAGTTCCCCTTTACACCAGGGTCTGCAGAGTTCCCCTTTACACCAGAGTCCGCAGAGTTCCCCTTTACACCACAGTCCGCAGAGTTCCCCTTTACACCAGGGTCTGCAGAGTTCCCCTCTACACCAGGGTCTGCAGAGTTCCCCTCTACACCAGGGTCTGCAGAGTTCCCCTCTACACCAGGGTCTGCAGAGTTCCCCTCTACACCAGGGTCTGCAGAGTTCCCCTTTACACCAGGGTCTGCAGAGTTCCCCTCTACACCAGGGTCTGCAGAGTTCCCCTCTACACCAGGGTCTGCGGAGTTCCCCTTTTACACCAGGGTCCGCGGAGTTCCCCTTTACACCAGGGTTCGCAGAGTTCTCCTTTACATCACAGTTAGGGAAGGCTCATTGGTGGAGGTGGGGGGAAGGCTCATTGATGGAGGTGGGGAGGCTCATGGATGGAGGTGGGGGGTCATTGATGGAGGTAGGGGGGAAGGCTCATTGATGGAGGTGGGGAGGCTCATTAATCGAGGTGGGGGGGGCTCACTGATGGAGGTGGGGAGAGAAGGCTCATTGATGGAGGTGGGGAGGGAAGGCTCGTGGATGGAGTTTGGGGGAAGGCTCATTGATGGAAGTGGAGGGAAGGCTCATTGATGGAGGTGGGGAGGGAAGGCTCATTGATAGAGGTGGGGAGGGAAGGCTCATTGATGGAGGTGAGGAGGGAGGGCTCATTGATAGAGGTGGGGAGGGAAGGCTCATTGATGGAGGTGGGTGGGGCTCATTGACAAAGGTGAGGGGGGAAGGCTCATTGATGGAGGTGGGGATGGAGGGCTCATTGATGGAGGTGGGGAGGGAAGGCTCATTGATGGAGATGGGGGGGAGGGAGGCTCACTGATGGAGGAGGGGGAGGGAAGGCTCATTGATGGAGGTGGGGGGGACTCATTGATGGAGGTGGGGAGGGAAGGCTCATTGATGGAGGTGGGGAGGGAAGGCTCATTGATGGAGAGGGAGCGCTCATTGGTTCGAGGTGTTGACTTGGCCTCCAAATTCTCCAGATCTCAGTCTAATTGAGCATCTGTGGGATGTGCTGGAAAAACAAATTCTTCAGTTTAAGGGCCGGTTCACAATATAGAAACGCAGTCCAGATGCATTCAGGATGCGTTTCCGCATGCGCATTTCTGTGGCGTTCCACTTCATTTCCCCCTCTCTTTTTCTTCAATTCATATAGTGACATGTGCATTACCGTGCGTTTTTGATGCGTTTTACTGCTTTCCAGTACACTTCTGTGCAGGAAAAATGCAACCTATTCTACTTTTTTTTCTGCAACCGGAACGCACCGGAACTGCAAGCACTGATGTGAACTATGAAACTGACAACCATATAACCTATTTTCTGTGCGTTTTGGATGCAAAGAAAGGTACCAGGGGCATCTCATGGGGCCCCCTACTGACCCTGGGCCCTTGGGCAGTGCCCGAGTGTTCGAATGGTCAGTCCACCCCTGGCATGAACTACTTTAGAAATCGTCGCGGCTCCAACCGGGTCGGAACCGCAATGGTTTTACCATTGTAATTGCAGACAATACGGTGCGACTTGGCATGCGATTTACAAGTCACCTGGCATGCAAATCGCACTCGATGTGACCGGTGGGGGGGCTTAGGTGCAGGGGCGGACTGACCATTTGAGCACTCGGGCGATGTCCGAGGGCCCGGGGTCAGTAGGGTACCCCATGAGATGCCCCTGGTACCTTTCATAGGCTTTTTTGGGTGTGGGTGAGGACACAGGGGCCCCATGATCCCCTATTGCCCGGGGGTCCCATGAGTTGTCAGTCTTAGGTGTGACCCTGGGGTGAGGGAAGGTTTTTCCTGAAATGAAGAGGGGGGGGGCAGGGTCCCTTTAAATAAGCCTCTATTCTTCAGCACTGACAGGCCATGCGACTTGCAGCCGATAGGGGGCGCTCACGCTCCACGCAGGACTTCTCTGTCCCCCTTGCAGCCTATAAATCTGGACAAGAAGTGAAGTCGCTGCCAGTCTGACTCAGGAAAAAGGGGAATTACTGCACTTAATTAAAGTGTATTGACACCATATGTGCTCCGGCCGGCTCCGGATTTATTAATGACTGAAATCCTGCCGGCTCATACAGGCCTACTTGTCGCAGAAGTCGCTCCCCCCCCCTCCCCCCCCGGAGAATATTAATGTAACAATTACAGAACGAAAAACATTTTTTATTTTTTTTAACATTTTGTTTCAAATGACTTTCTGTTACTTAGTTTGAAATCGCAAAGAAAACAACTAAAATATTGTTTACAACTTCGTTACAATGTATTTGTCTGAATTCACGGCTCCGTCCAATCCAGAGGCGGACTGACCATGTGGAAACTCGGGCACTGCCCGAGGGCCCGGGGTCAGTAGGGGGCCCCACGAGATGCCCCTGGTACCTTTTTCATAGGCTTTTTTTGAGTTTGGGCAAGGACACAGGGGCCCCATGATCCCCTATTGCCCGGGGGCCCCATGAGTTGTCAGTCCGCCCCTGATCCAATCAGAAGAGCGATGCCCCGAATCGCCCGCCGGTACTCTATAGCTCCGGGGGGAGGGGGGGTCATATCAGAAATATATATTCTCGGAACGGCCCCCCCCCTCCCCCCCCCGAAGAATATTAATGTAACAATTACAGAACGAAAAACATTTTTTATTTTTTAACATTTTGTTTCAAATGACTTTCTGTTACTTAGTTTGAAATCGCAAAGAAAACAACTAAAATATTGTTTACAACTTTGTTACAATGTATTTGTCTGAATTCACAGCTCGGTCCAATCAGAAGAGCGATGCCCCGAATCGCCCGCCGGCACTCTATAGCTCCCGGGGGGGGAGGGGGGGGTCGTATCAGAAATATATATTCTCAGAATGGTCTTTTTAGATTGTAAGCTCTGAGACCCGTGCGACTTGCATGCCCTGCGACTTTCCAATCGCACGCCGCGTCGCACCCCGTTGTCCGCAATGAAAGCGGTCCTATCGGCGCGGTTCTGACTCGGTGCCGATTTCCAAAGTAGGACATGCGTTGCTTTTGGTGCGATTTGCATAGACATCATAGGGAACCATTATTTTTTGGTTGCCACACCTTGGGAATACGCTCACAAACGCACCGCCGCGCATCCGCTGGGAATGAGCCCCTAAACTCAGCAGTTTGAGTATTTGTAGCTGCCATTTCTATTTGATTTTTTTTTTCCCGGGTGAAGTTCCCAGCTTGGTGACAGATTCCTCGGCACACCTTGCGTTTCTGCATGCATGTTTTTTTTCTCGTTCTGGTGCGTTTTTGATGCGTTTTGATGAGTTACAGTGCTTTCCAGTTCATTTTTTTTCTTCAATTTAAGGGCCGGTTCACACTATAGAAACGCAGTCCAGATGCATTCTGGATGCATTTCTGTGTGCACATTTTTTGGCATGTTCCGGTGCGTTTTGGATGCGTTCCAGGGCGTTTTATACATTCCACTTCATTTTTCCCCCCTCTTTTAATTTAAATAGGGGCATGCGTGTTCCGGTGAGTTTTTCATGCATTTTGACAAGTTCCGGTGCGTTTTTGGTGGTTTTCAGTTCATTCTTTTCTCTCTTTTTTTCTTCAATTTAAGGGCCGGTTCACACTATAGAAACGCAGTCCAAATGCATTCTGGATCAGGGGCGGACTGACAAGTCATGGGGCCCCCGGGCAATAGGGGATCATGGGGCCCCTGTGTCCTCGCCCAAACTCAAAAAAGCCTATGAAAAAGGTACTAGGGGCATCTCATAGGGCCCCCTACTGACCCCGGGCCCTCGGGCAGTGCCCGAGTACCCAAATGGTCAGTCCGCCCGTTTCTGCGTGCACATTTTTGGCACGTTCCGGTGCGTTTTGGATGCGTTTCAGGGCGTTTTTATACATTCCACTTCATTTTTTCCCTCTCTTTTTCTTTAATTTAAATAGGGACATGTGCGTTCCGGTGAGTTTTTGATGCGTTTTGACAAGTTCCGGTGCGTTTTTGGTGGTTTTCACCCCTCTCTTTTACTTCAATCTAAGGGCCGGTTCACACTATAGAAACAGTCCAGATGCATTCGGGATGCGTTTCTACATGTGCGTTTTTGCCGCATTCCAGGGCATTTTGGATGCGTTTTTGCCGCGTTCCAGTGTGTTTTTATACATTCCACTTTATTTCCCCCTCTCTCTCTCTTTTTTTTTAATTTAAATAGGGACATGTGCGTTCCGGTGCGTTTTTTGATGTGTTTCACCGCGTTCCAGTGCAGTTCTGTGCAGGAAAAATGCCGCCTCTTCTACTTTTTTCCCTCCCCTCCCCCCGAAGAATATTAATGTAACAATTACAGAACGAAAAACATTTTTTATTTTTTAACATTTTGTTTCAAATGACTTTCTGTTACTTAGTTTGAAATCGCAAAGAAAACAACTAAAATATTGTTTACAACTTCATTACAATGTATTCGTCTGAATTCACAGCTCGGTCCAATCAGAAGAGCGATGCCCCGAATCGCCCGCCGGCACTCTATAGCTCCCGGGGGGGGAGGGGGGGTCGTATCAGAAATATATATTCTCAGAATGGTCTTTTTAGATTGTAAGCTCTGAGACCCGTGCGACTTGCATGCCCTGCGACTTTCCAATCGCACGCCACATCGCACCCCGTTGTCCGCAATGAAAGCGGTCCTATCGGCGTGGTTCTGATTCGGTGCCGATTTCCAAAGTAGGACATGCGTTGCTTTTGGTGCGATTTGCATAGACATCATAGGGAACCGTTATTTTTTGGTTGCCGCACCTTGGGAAAACGCTCACAAACGCACCGCCGCGCATCCGCTGGGAATGAGCCCCTAAACTCAGCAGTTTGAGTATTTGTAGCTGCCATTTCTATTTGATTTTTTTTTTTCCCGGGTGAAGTTCCCAGCTTGGTGACAGATTCCTCGGCACACCTTGCATTTCTGCATGCATGTTTTTTTCTCGTTCTGGTGCGTTTTTGATGCGTTTTGATGAGTTACAGTGCTTTCCAGTTCATTTTTCCCTCTTTTTTTCTTCAATTTAAGGGCCGGTTCACACTATGGAAACGCAGTCCAGATGCATTCTGGATGCATTTCTGTGTGCACATTTTTTGGCATGTTCCGGTGCGTTTTGGATGCGTTCCAGGGCGTTTTATACATTCCACTTCATTTTTCCCCCCTCTTTTAATTTAAATAGGGGCATGCGTGTTCCGGTGAGTTTTTCATGCATTTTGACAAGTTCCGGTGCGTTTTTGGTGGTTTTCAGTTCATTCTTTTCCCTCTTTTTTTCTTCAATTTAAGGGCCGGTTCACACTATAGAAACGCAGTCCAAATGCATTCTGAATCAGGGGCAGACTGACAAGTCATGGGGCCCCTGGGCAATAGGGGATCATGGGGCCCCTGTGTCCTTGCCCAAACTCAAAAAAGCCTATGAAAAAGGTACCAGGGGCATCTCATGGGGCCCCCTACTGACCCCGGGCCCTCGGGCAGTGCCTGAGTTTCCAAATGGTCAGTCTGCTCCTGTTTCTGCGTGCACATTTTTGGCACGTTCCGGTGCGTTTTGGATGCGTTTCAGGGCGTTTTTATACATTCCACTTCATTTTTTCCCTCTCTTTTTCTTTAATTTAAATAGGGACATGTGCGTTCCGGTGAGTTTTTGATGCGTTTTGACAAGTTCCGGTGCGTTTTTGGTGGTTTTCAGTTCGTTTTTTCCCCTCTCTTTTACTTCAAACGAAGGGCCGGTTCACAATATAGAAACAGTCCAGATGCATTCGGGATGCGTTTCTACATGTGCGTTTTTGCCGCATTCCAGGGCATTTTGGATGCGTTTTTGCCGCGTTCCAGTGTGTTTTTATACATTCCACTTTATTTCCCCCTCTCTCTCTTTTTCTTTAATTTAAATAGGGACATGTGCGTTCCGGTGCGTTTTTGATGTGTTTCACCGCGTTCCAGTGCAGTTCTGTGCAGGAAAAATGCCGCCTCTTCTACTTTTTTCGCTCCCCCCCCGAAGAATATTAATGTAACAATTACAGAATGAAAAACATTTTATTTTATTTATTTTAACATTTTGTTTTAAATGACTTTCTGTTACTTAGTTTCAAATTGCAAAAAAAAAAAACCCCAACTAAAATATCGTTTATAACTTCGTTACAATGTATTCGTCTGAATTCACAGCTCCGTCCAATCAGAAGAGCGATGCTCCTGGGGGGGGGGGGGGGGGGGGGTCGCATCAGAAAATATATATTCTCAGAACTCGCCTTTTAGATTGTAAGCTCTGACACCCCCGATCACATTGGTGCGATTTTTGCATACCCTGCGACTTGCAAATCGCACGCCAAGTCGCACCCCATTGTCCGCAATTACAGCGGTCCTATCGGCGCGGTTCCGACTTGCGACTCTAGGCAGGCAAGTCGCACCGCAAGTTGGAATTATTATTATTATAGAGGATTTATACGGCGCCAACAGTTTGCGCAGCGCTTTACAAAACAACATCCGACTTTGAAACCGTGCGACTTAACTGCAAGTCGCACAATTTAAAAGTCGGGATCGGTGTGTCCGGAGGGAGGGGGGGAAATGCTAGGTTCCCACCTATGCCATTTGCGTTTTTTTCACATGTTTTTGGCGAGTTTTTGATGTGTTTTTGATGCGTTTTTATTCCTATTTATTTTTTTTGGCCAACTTGTCGATGGGCAGGATAAAAACTCAAAATGCATCAAGACCGCATACAAAACGCAGCACTGGCATTTTATAGGCGGTTCCATTGAAGTCTATTGGACTAAAAATGCAACCAGGAAAATAAGTCCCTAATCCTTTCCAAAAAAAAAACGCATAGATATGAAAAAATATGATATGAAAAACGCATAGATATGAAAAAATATGATATGAAAAACGCATAGATATGAAAAAATATGATATGAAAAACGCATAGATATGATTTCCAAAAATACGCAAAGAATGTGATCCTTAGTAAATCATGATAAATGGCATGTGCTGCGTTCCTGCAAAACGCAATAAAAAACATGCCAGAAACGCATTTAAAATGCAGCATTTGCGTATTATATGCAGTTCCATTGAAGTCTATTGGACTAAAAATGTTAACTGCTGCGGGAAAAAAGTCCCTGAACCTTTACAAAAAACGCACCCGCAAAAACTGCACGGATGTGAACGCGATCCTTAGAAAATCATGATAAATGGCATGCGCTGCGTTCCTGCAAAAACCAGTAAAAAAACGTGCCAGAAACGCATGTAAAATGCAGCACTTGCCTTTTATGTGCGGTTCCATTGAAGTCTATTGGACTAAAAATGCAAACGGGAAAAGAAGTCCCTGACCCTTTCCAAAAAACTGCCTAGATATGAGTGTGATCCTTAGAAAGTCACGATAAATGACACCGCGTTCCTGCAAAACGCATAAAAATATGCACAGGGTAGGTTCACACTCCATGTTTCGGTTCCTTTTTTTCTGCATCCAAAACGCACAGAAAAGTCGCTGATCTGGCTGTCAGCGTC